CACTACTTCTGCTGCTTCCTGACATGCTGCACAGCTTGTCTATCCATCACTTGGACAATCCTTGTATGCACATTATGGTGGAGCTTCATACAGATACCTCTGCTGCACCAAGGGTGCACATTGTCAGGGCACCAGCTCATTGCTTGGTCAAGAGACATGACTAAGCCTTTATGACATGGAAGTAGCTGGTATACCTTGGCATGTGCTGGAACCTGCTGGAAGGATTGGATGGTCAGGTGACCTGCTGTGCATGGCTGTGCATGACCTCATATGACCTCATCCTTGGTCATATGACCTGATCACCTGACTAGGCTGAGTAAGCAAGATGTTCTAGCAGGTTCCACCACAGAGGTATAAATATAAGGCCTACTCTGCCTGGGGACTGTCTCTTCAGACTTGGTCTCTTAGGATCATCCACAGGTACCTATACTGTAGATAGGTCTTAGTCATCAGGTCTACTCCACTTTGTTGTTGCCTGCTTAGACTCTTGGCACTCTTAGGTGAGCAGACTTAGTCAGCCTGTGTTGCCCTAACACACATCCCTATGCCCTGGCTGCCTGTCTTGCCGGAAGAACGGTTCAAACCTCACACCCAAGATGATCAGGTTCAAAGACATAGCCACGACTGAGAAGAAGGAAGGCGAAGGTGGGGAAAAAAAAAAAGGTGATGGGAAGGATGGTAATTGGGCTAAAGGAGGGTCGAAGAAGGGCAAGGGCCGCAGCAGTGGCAGCCACAGGGCCCATGGCGGTGGCAGCGCTCACGGCTCCTCTGCACACACTGCGGCTTGATGCCGCCTTCCGCTCCACATATGCATACTGTAGCTGTTTACCTGATATACCGTGATACTCGTGAATGAAAGATGTGCTCACGCCCCTATAGTTGACAGACTTCTCACGCGGTCTCCTGTCTCTGATCCAGAGATTGCCTCCGGTCCACCTACCTTCGACAGGAGAGCACCACGCAGGTGTTCCTTCGTCTCCTATCCCAACAGGATCCTCGCTATACATATAGCTGCCTCTATGCTCTTGCGGAGGGACACTGAGTTACCTTCTGGGGCCCTGATTAATGCACAGGCTGTACGTCGCTGGCCCCGCTCTTCCAAGCAGCGCTAATGTTGTCGTCAGCTTTCGATTTCTTGGGGAATCCAGGCACCTTCGTCAACAATCATTGAAGAGACTCAGCACACTGGATATCGTGGACAGAGATGACAGAGAGAAAAAGCTGCCAAGGTGTGCTCCTGACTGGCACGATGAGATGACTTGCTGATCAGCTATCGGCGAGTCACAGGGGCGAGCTCGTCCGAGCTCTGTGGTCTCTGCATCGCTCAGCAAGCCAACCCTTCGGGACATGGAAGACTCGGAGAAGGACAGACACCGTACAAGCATAGAGCCCAGATCCATTGAATCTGCAGAAAAGTGGGTGGCAGATGCGTTGGACAGGGGTGTCGACGTGGAGCTCATTCTCGCTGTGCTCGAGAAACACAAGGGTATGGTTATGAGCCTTCCATGTATTCTCCCTCTAATGTGTCTTACCACCTGCTGCGGCTCCCAGGATCCACCTCATCTTCGACGCAGCCGCGCCTGACCAACGCGATGGCCAAGAGACCAGCTTCTGCTTTGGACGAATCTGGCGACCGTGTCGTTCCTTCGACGAGTGAAGTCAGGATGCCGGTATGTGTCGTTACGGAGTGTCCTGGAAACACTGAAACATCATGTACAGGTATATGATCGTGCGCAAAAGCGCCGTAGACCTGGTGGCTCTCTATCTGCCAAATCAGGAGCACGCACGGATATGGTAGTCAGTCCTGACGCCAACTCCCCTTCGCCCAGAGAGAACACGCTTATAGCAGCAGAGCCCGCTTCTGCTCACGTTGACGATAGGATCGCGAGTTTGTGTATATCGGACTACGATGCAGCGATGCAGAGGACTTTAAACGATGCGAAATCTGAAATGCGGCTCCACATGTACAAGAGCACTCCGTTTCCCCTGGACAAAGCAGCTATCGCTGACATGATCAAATCTGCCGTTCGGAAGGCTAACGAGTTGGCCATCACTAGAGGCGGACCGACGATGGAATTGGCAGGCAATGCCAGTTGTGGGATTTACAAGCTGGGTAATCCTTATCCTTCTGACTGAGTCCGTGTCATCTAACAGCACCCATTCAGTTGCGGGATGTTTTAGGTCAGGTTTGTGGCCAGATCAAGACGAAGGCAAGAAAATCAGTCAAGACCCATTACTTTGAGGACGGGCGAGGACGTCCTCTGTCGGCAGAGGATATCAAGTCTATCTGCAGTGTTTTGCTTGACAAGAGTGAGGATATTGCATATTACACATTTTGACAGGTGGATTTCAGTGGCGTGAGTTGGTAGTATGCATAAATTTTTTAAAACTGAATTCATCTCTCAGTCGCATCCTCAACCCGATGGACCGTTTGACAATGCAGTCCTAGACAAAATCTTGGGTCCGCAGCTTTTCTCCGAGGAAAGCGACAATGCGGATGGACTCTCGCACCATCGGGAGTTCCTATCTATGCCAGATGGTGCGCTGGCTGTCTCCTGCAGTGCCGTAGGTGTCTACAAGCGGTCAAATCGTGTTCTGCGGTGCTCAGCGTGATGACTAGGTAAAAAATGCAATCGAAGAGTGGCAAACCGGTTGTTTCATTCCGAGAAACTTTCGCAAGACATATAAGAGCACTTGCGACTGGCTTATGACAAACCTCGAAGAATGGAAGACCACAGACCCTTCTGGATACCAAGAGCACATGCAGCATCTAGCTAATCGTATCCGGTAAGTACTCGTTTGGACATGCAACTCGTTTATCTGACACACAGCATAGAGCGAGAATGAATATCAACTTGCTGAGATCACCGAAAGCGACGTTTATTGCAAAGCACATCAGCGTTCGGTGGGATACCGTTCAGCTGCAAGGCATGAGTTGTCAAGCTCTCGAATCATAACATAAGTGGTGAGCATATCCATTCAGACACATTCAGTATTCTCCTGCAATGGCGCTGTCGAAGGGGCTGTATTGTTATTTATCCTTGGATTTTCTGAATGGAATATGTTCAATACCATATCAAGCATCGCTGGAGAAGGGTTGTCCGAGCTCGCCTAACCCTTACGGCTCGCCGATCGGTCATTGCACTGACGGATCGGGATCCTCGCCAGATCCTGGCATGTATCATCGGCCACGGGCAACCACAATCGTATTGCCGTCCTCCTCCGGTTCAACACTCTATGTGCTCTGAAATTATCTGCTGATCTACGGCAGCTTAATACCTTCGATTGATCTCCCATAATTACCACAGTCGGCACCCTCGGTATTCTTCTCATCAGTCTCACACAATGATTGCAGAACGATCCTGCCAAGATCATAGGTAAGAGGGTTAGCAAGGGTCTTGCGCCTCGAAGAGGATGAATCGAGATCAGACAGGGATGAGATGGACGTCGAAGGATCCTCATCAGTGTGTTCTACTCTGTCCGGCTCTTGTGTATGTTCTCATCCCATTGAGAGTTGAGAAAGCGATCTAGAGAGGAACCATCATTGGTAACTACAATGTCAGGTCCCGCAATCCACTGGCCTAGAAGAAGACAAACCATTGTCCTATCGAAGCCTACTTCCTCAATTGCCCCTCTACAGGCTGCATGATGTTTATTACTATGGAAGGACGCACTGGTACGCCTTTGGGCGCAGGTCATTTTCATAATATTGACATGTCACAGATACGGAGACGAAGGCGGATGGTCTGAGACATGCCTCCTCCCTCATCCAGAGGGAGGGTTCGCGCCCGAAAGCACTCACACCATTCGCATCGCCAACAAGCCATGGACTGGCCTTGAGATTGAGGATTGCGATGATGGAGATACCCCAACCAGCGCTGGCTCTGCACTGTACCCCAGCCACGGGATCAAGCCTTCGTCGTCTGGCTTGACCTTTATGTCGAGCTCCTCAGATTCAGACGGCGGCTCCCTCCTCTCCACCCCCCCCCCGCACATAGGGTCAGCTCACCTACGTCCGACCCGATCCGATCACCAG